CCGAGTCCGAGTCCGAGTCCGAGTCCGAGTCCGAGTCCGAGTTTGAGTCTGAGAGGGTGAAAGCCCAAAGCATTCGTCTCCTAAACCCTTGGGGGTTTGGTGAGCTCCAAAAGTATAGTGAGGGGGAGGATTGCAATGGAGCCAGTTTGGCCAAGAAAGGCTAGTTTGGCCTAGGAAAGCTGTACCCAGTGTTGGGTGATGAGCTTCCCACTAGGAAGTCCAAGACTAGAGTGAACACGGATTGACAAGTGGGGTAGCTTAGTGAAGTGTTCAAAAGCCGGCTCTAGTTCCCTTGGGAGATCGACTGGCCAATGCTCCTAGTCCAAGTGTGGATGGCACTACCTACTTGGATACCTGGCGTGGCTCAATGGAACCTCGCTCTAAGCCTCTGGCTAGAGCACCTAAAGGCGGAAGGCGGGGAGAGTACCCATGAGGCCTGCGTAGGGCCACGGTATTTCAAAATGTTGTCCCAAAAGTCCCAGACTATGGAAAGGAAGGGGAGTAGCCCTCTGGTGTGGTGACCAAAGACACAGTCACACAGTGAAGAAGTCCTAGAGGACAATAGGACTTAGTGGTTGGGCCTGTGGGCCTCTATCCAATGGCGGTGTTGGCAAACACAGCCAAGGACAAAAAGGGATTTGGTGGGGACTAGAACGGAGATATTGGGGAAGGCTATTCCCCATGTTTGTGGGCATCCTAAGGATGCTAAGGAGTGGATTTAGGATGACCACTCATGGACGAATGGCCCAGTCTTGGAGAGATGAGATTGCAATGCAGGTGGTGTTAAACTAACGATGTGACCAAGGTGAATGAGCGTGGCCTATCGTAACGGACTCATATGTTGGTGGTACCTTGGGGTGTTGGTCATGGGATTGGACACGTGGAGCACTTGGACCAAGTGCAAAGGTTGAGTGGCATGGATGCCATTCTCCGTGCTAGCAAGCCCCAAGTTTTGAATGGGACTTATGGAGATTGTGAATGAGACTCCTTCAAGTGGTCGGAGGTGTGGTTAAGTGACTAAAGTAAAATGGAAAAATTAGTCACTTACAGACCATCACCCATAGGAAGGGGAGCTAAAGGATGAGTAGCAAGAAGTGGAAGAGGCGACGTCTCATAACGTTGTGTCAAGCAAAGAGCATCATCAAGGGTGGCAGGAGCAAGTGCATGCACAAGTCCGACAAGATCTTGACGAAGTGCTGGCCACAACATTCCTAGCTTGACCGCTCGGACATATTTGGCTCCGCACGAAGCAAAAAGCTTCGACAACAAACACCAAATTGCATCACTGACTCAGATGGCCCTTGGCGAAGACGATGTAATTGTTAAAAAGCATCATCATAATCGTCGGCATGTTCAAAGGCGCGTTTGAAGATGTCCGGGAGAATACTCCAATCCCCACGAGTGGCTGTGCTCAGACCATTGTACCATTGCAATGGCGTCCCTTGGAGACATGTGGGAAACTCACGCAAACGTCGAGCATCATCCTAAGAATGATATGTGGCAATCACCGTGAAGTGATCGAACCAATGGTACATATCATCCAAAGGATTCCCGCAAAAGAACTCCGGCCGAACGCGAGGATTAGCACCAAGAGCAGGAGGAGTTGTGCCACGTGCTACGAATGCCACCATCAACTGAGTTTGGTTGTTCAATTGCAAGCGCATAGTATCAAGCAATTGTACCAACTGCTGCTCCAGAGTCAAAGGAGGAGATTGTTTATCTGCCATGAAGACAGACAAAGAAAGAGCAAAAGAAGAGAAACAACAAAAAGCGAAAAGGAAATGGGAGATCTAAACAATGCAAGAAAGTTAAATGTAAACCAAAATCCTGAAAGGGAAGAACAAAAGAAAGGGAATGGAAAAAGCTAAATTTAGACAATGCAAAAGCTAGATCTAAACCAAAATCCCAAATTCAAACACTCCTCAGGAAAAATAAAAAATGCCCCTCACCTCCACCAATGTGAGTGCTTAGAATATGGAAAGGGAATATAGAAAATGTGCATATCAATTAGCCCAAAAACCTTAGCTTATATACAGAAGCGAGTGGTCCGGATTGAAACCAATCTAATGCCTACCAAAATCCCACTATGCTAATATTAGTATACAGCATTGTAGCCGTACACTTGGCCCTCCCATAAACATTATATTTTTTATTTAATTTTTGTTTTCTATTTTTTTTAGTTTAATTTTTAATTTTAGACTAGATAAAAGATCACATTGATGACTTCAGCAACACTCACAATGGTGCAGTGCGATCAGAAAGATGATCCACAAAACAAACGAGATATTGCACATTGCCAAGGAAGCGCTGCACATCATTCACACACTTTAAAGTAAGGAACTTTAGAATAGCCACAAATTTGTTAGGATCAACTTGCAAACCCCCACGAGAAATATGGTACCTAAGATAAATTGTGTCTTTGGACCTAAACACGCATTGCGACCGCTTTAGCTTTAAACCAACGTTGCGTAGCCGATCCAACACTTTACAAACATCACGAACGTACTCCTCCCATGTCCCCTTCGAGTGGATCAAGACATCATCAATGAAGTCAATAGTCACCTCTGGTATATCACAAAGAACTTCGTCCATCATCCATTGGAAAGTTGTTGAAGCATTGTTCAAACCAAATGGCATCACTAAGTTCTATGGCTTATGCTAATTCCCTTTCTTGAGCTCCTCTTCCTTCTCCACTCTCTTCTCATGTTTCTGATGAGCCTATTGTTCCAGCCTTTATGGATTTTCTAAATGAGAATTTTCTGCCATTGGCAGTTGCTATACTTGATGTTTAATGTCCACAAGGCGCAGAGTAAGATCTACCTTCTCTTGATGAGGTTTACGAGGCTCATAAGCTTGAGCCGTAGATTCAAAGGCTTCGAGAAGGGTTTGAGAATCTTGCATCACTTGCTGATGACTTGCCTTTCCGGCATTTATATTTTCAATATCGCCTTGAAGACGGCTTTCTTTATTTTGTGGGGACAAATCTTAATAATCATTTATGGTTGATAGTGCCTTCTGTCTTTATTCTACGGTTTTTCCATACCTACCATGATTCTTTTGTTTTAGGTGGGTATATGGGACATCATCATGTAACTGAGAAGCTACACTGGTCTTTCTATTGGCCAAAGATGTGACATGATGTTATTTGATCTGTGCATAGCTATGTTTGGTGCCAAGCTCATAATACTCTCCTTCATACCACGGAAGGACAGTTGGAGTCAATTATAGTTTCCCGTCCATTTGAGTTGGTGGTGTTTGATCTTATGGGACCTTTTCCACGGTCGACTGCTGGCAATGAGTATGTTATTATTCCTTCTGACTACTTGATTTGTTGGGTGGAAGTTGGTGCTTTTGTTAACACCTCTGCAATTGTTGTTGGATACTTCCTCCTTAATCAAGTGGTGTTCCAGCATTCTTGTCCAAAGCGGATTCTTTCGAATAATGGCCCCACATTTATGGCTGAGGCATTTCATGTTTTGATGTCTCGGTTGGGGATACGCCACACTTTTATGAATGCTTATCATCCATAATCAGACGTTTTGGTGGAACGGCTCATTCAGACATTCAAAGGGATGATTACGAAGTATGTGAACTTTCAGCATTCGGATTGAAATGGTTATTTGCCATCTTGTCGGTATGTATATGTCACAGAAGTGCAGAGTTTTATTAGTGCTTCATTATATAAATTTCTATATGATCATAATCCAATATTACTAACAGAGCTAGGTTTACCTTCGCAATTGCCACAAGCTGCTAATGCTAGGTCATGGGATAAGTATTTGATGAGCATTCTTCCACTTGTCTAAGTAGAATTTGCAAAACATTTAAGTCACATACAAATGGGACAACAATGGCGCTACAACTCCCATCATCGTTCACCTGCGGAGTACAAAGTGGATGATTTGGTATTAGTCCGTTTTCCCCATCTTACAGTATATGGTTTATCTAAGGGGTTTCTTCCGCAGTGGAAAGGACCGTATCAGGTGTTACGGCAAGTTGGACCACAAGTTTATGAGTTTATGAGGTTTGGCATGACATTCAACAAGCTAATCCTCCAGAGATTGTGTATGTGCAGTGGTTGAAATGCTTCATACAAAAGGATCAAAAGCAATTAATACCACCTATAGATCCGCCAATGCCTTCTCCTAACATTCCTTCAGATCCCGGCCCATTTACAAAAGAACCCTAATGGTCTTTTATTATTCCAAGAGGAGGGGATGATGTGAGGGCCAAATGTATGGCTACAATACTATATACTAATATTAGTGTAGTAGAATTTTAGTAGTCGTCAGATTGGTTTCAATTCGGACCACTTGCTCTTGTATATAAGCTAGGTTTTTAGGCTAATTGATATGCACATTTTTTATATTCCCTTTCCACACAATGCTTTTAATGTTTTTTTTTATGATTAAAATATGATTCTAAAATAGTTGTATATTCACTATAAGTTGTATAATTCCAATTAACATATTCCATATTGTAAATTTCACCGAGTTCAAACTCACATGACTAAAAATTTTAATAAAGAAACTTACCAAAGGTAGTTGTGAGGAAAATGAAAAATAAAATTAACTATGAATAGCCATTAAAATTTTAATAAATTTTATTATCTACTCTTAATAATAATTAAGAGTATTTTCGCCCCACAGATGGATTTCCAGATAGGTACATTGCCTATCTGGAGGGCAGTAGGCCCCGATCCAGAGAGGAGCTGGCAATAAATAATGGGTTTTAGTTAGAAATCTTTAAGGTTTCGAAAATTAAAAGCTTTAAACATACTTATCTTTTCACTTTTTTTTTCACCACTATATTCAATTTTCGACACCTCTTTTTCACCATTAGATTCAATCTTTGACACAATATTTAGTGCCAAACATGCTTAACAATAAATTGAAATAATTGATGTTAACCACCCACAAAATGTCTATAAGATTCTCTTTGTAGAAGCTATTAAATGTATTTTTCATGCCTTCAATCTATTACAAACGACTAAAAAATGCTGGCAGTCAAGATATAAATTGCAAAAAGAGTCAACAAACACATAATCTCACTTTGACCATTGTTGTTTCCCCATTTTCCAACATCAGCCAAAATCCACAAGCAAAACCTTAACTTTGAGAACATTACCTTGAGGAATCCACAATAACTGCACCGAGTTCCAGAGTGACTGGCGTCAGATTCTTTGCGGCCTCAGCCATGACAATTTGGCCGCCTCGTTTATTACCTGAAGGTTTCATCGATAACGTACACTGCCGTGTAGAAAATCTTATCCCACTTTTGATGGAGAAGAGCAGTGGTTTCCGAAATTCCTCCCTCGACCACGCGAATCGCAGATTTATCCAAGTACAAAGGGAGCAGCCGTGTGATCAACGCCGATGTCGCTGGTGCCATCTCGACGGCTTCAACACCACGGCATTGCCCGCGGCAATGGCTCCAACCATCGGGTCCAGGGAAAGGACTGCATTAAAGAACCACAAGGAGAGAACCTCGTCACGAAAAAAGAACGAGCGCTAGAACCAACAGACTTACGAAATGGTAAATTCCAGGCGGAGATTATCAGCACGACAGCGAAAGGCTCGGGCTTCATGGCGGCCGACGCCGGGAGCGTCGAAGCAGAGCTGGAAGCTGGAAAAGAAGATTTCCAAGAAAATGAGCAGAGAGAGCGAGGTTTTCGATGGCAAGCTGGCACACACTCTTGACGGGAAAGATCTGCGAGGAAAAGATCCACACAGAATCAGCGGGATTTCGATCCAAGAACCAAAAAAGATCCGGGAGGAAGCAAGCAATCAAAAGAAAAGGTGCCATAGCATCGCCTCTCACCTCACTGGTGAGGCACTCCGAGGGCGATGTCCTCCTCGTGCTTTTGGATCAAACCCACGATGCTCTTGAGCTGCGCGAGCCGCCAATCCAAGCTCCTCCGAAATCGCTGCGGACCTCGCCACACAGCCGCGATTACGGCGCTCTCCGTCAATTCTTGGCGGCGATCGGACTCCATTGCTCGCTCGCTCGCTCCCAGGAAGAAAACCCTGACAGGCCCTGCTCATTCGAAATCGTCGAAGAAGTCGGCGTGGTGGAGTAGCGCCACCGCCGGCACACGGTTGCCGCCTGGGCATTGCGCCGCGCCTCGACGAGAATGGAGGAGACGATGCTGTCCGGGATCACGTCGATGCTGGCGCCGCCTCTCCGCCATAGCTGCGAGCTCCCCCTGACCTGGCGCCAAGAGCACGTGACGTGGAATAAACATTACGGTGGCCCGGGACTTGACCGGTTAGATTAAACGGGATGGGGATGACGTCCGGAGGGGGTTCTTGATGAGCGCGGGACGTGATGAATAGAGTGGAGGCAGGCTTAAGGGGCTCTGCGCACACGGGGTGTTCACACTCGATCTAAGGCTTGAAGTTAGATTCTTGGATTGAGGAGTCTACGGTCCATTATTAATCGTTACAATGTAAACGCCACGTGGGAAGATTAGGGCTAATTAGGCGTGCAATGCTAGGGCAAAATGGCGATCCGACAAAAGTCGAGCGTTCCTCCAGCCGGCATCGTCCGGTAAATCGATCGTGGCCGGTGGCGGCGGCAAAGATTGCAGCTCGTCCGCGTCTGTGAGCGCGAGATCGAGCACCTCGGAAGTGGCGGGGACCGTGGCAGCGCCCGGGATCGGGATTGGGGTAAGGGAGTGGAGCAGCGGGTTAAGGGAGCAGCAGGGACGATTTGGCGTGGAAGCTGGCGATGAGAATTTTGCCGTGCCAGCGAGATCTTCCGACAACAAGTTTGAAGCTGTGCGATGCCATTACTGGGATACTTGCAGGTGAGAAATCACGAGTGAAGAGTTCGATCTTCGATTTCTCGGCAAGAATTTTTTGTTCTCTTTTCTTCGCCTCGAGTAAGAGCTCTTTTGGTTTTTAGCAGCTGTGGTTTCCATTATTTGGAGCCACGAGAGCCTGGAGCAACGACCAAGGCGTCAAGAACACCGAAGATGGACTAGATTTTTTTGGTTTGATGATAGAAAACGATGAAAAAACTTTGTTGCAGTGAGGACGCGGTGACCTCTCTCTCTGCTCAAAGTGGAGTCTTCCTGCGAATCAAGTCATGGTGGTAAGCATTTTCATCTCATTTCGCTGCTAGAGTTTACAAAATTCACTGTTTCATAGGATCTAATCGCAAAACTCGTGAATCCTGCCGGAATCTTCCAGTGCCGCGTGACCGACGCCAAAAATGTTGCTGCTGCCGAGGGAAATCTTGAGGAAATCGCAAGATTGTTCCGGAAGAAACTCACAGATTTCCAGCAGATATCTCCCGAGCCAGTTCTTCGCCCAGGAAACCATTTCAATGCGCATTACAGCGTGAAGGACATGGACGAGCTCAAATGGCTGTTCGTGGAATCTCTTACAGGCAGTTAGTTACGGCGTTTTTAGGGTCGTGCCAAATGCCGGGACGGGGCATAATATTCTGATTCCAGGACAGGGGGATGTGCAGATATGTGGCGAGCGCCATGGAGTCGACTGCAGCGGGAGCAGCAACAACAAGTAGAAAGCTTAAGCGGGAGGCGGCCCAGCGGCGCAAGGCGCAGGCTAGATCGCTCAAACTTCGGGCCGAGGAACAGGAACGCTTGCAGCGCCTGGTACACTTCTCTTGTGCCTGTTGAGTTCCCGTTTTGTGAGAATAAATGCTGGTGCTTGTGCTGAGAGCAGGAGATTGATGCACTGGTGGAGCAACAGAGGGTGCAGCGCCTTGAACGACACCGTCGCAAAGAAGACGCTGAGAAGCTCGCTCGAGAGGCATCAGGGCTGGGTTTGAGCAACAGCTGCTGCTCGCAGGGAGGCGCGCAGCAGACGAGGAGCAGCGATGCGCGGCAGCAGCAACAGCAGAGTGGAACAGGGGAGAGCAGGTCGTCGTCGTCCTCGTCGAGCTCTGCAGTGCCTTCTTGGCCCGTTGTTTATAAGGACCACCAACAAGCTACAGCACAAGATGCAGCAGAGCAGCCAGCCACCTCTCAGCAAGTGCAACAGGCGAGAGCTCTTGTGGACAACCGGAGAAAACTGGCGAGGGGCCCTCGCTCGGGAAACGGGACTGTGGGCTTGGCATTGACGCAAGTAACCAACTTTGCTGCTTCTAAGAGCTCCGACTTGGCGCTGGAAGATCACCGGGTTGTGAGCACAGAGTACCAAGCAGCGGGAACGCAAGCTCTGATGCGGGTCACACTTTTAGCAGCGGGTTTTGTCATTGGCGCTCGGGGCATCTCCGCGAGGCTCATCGGTCAGGTGACAGGTGCCATCATCCAGTCGTGGACGGAATCGTCTGCATGCCGGCACAGCAACAGCGCCACGGGGGTGCCAATGAGACTCTTCAGGATTCAGGGCAAGAAGGCTGTAGTCCAGGCAGCGGTGGCCCTGGTAGAGCAGGCTGTGGCCAAGTACAGGGAACTGTGCGAGTGCAAGAGAAGGGGTGAATTTGTTCAGCGTGAACATGTCATCAACGGGGTTGAGTTTTACTATCAGCCACCACCTCGAAAGGCATTCTCTGACCAACTCGCGTCGTCCAGGACTCCGTCTTCCTCCTCCTCCCCTTCACCGGCTTCTGTGGCTGCCGCGGCCACCAGCACCAGCAACTGCAACAGCGGCAGCCGGGCTGACGTCCCCTTTCCCCCGCACCATGCCTGGCTCCGTCACCTCCAGGCTGCCGGAGCGTCGTCGAGGGATGGAAGGGAGGCACAGCCTGATGGCCATGGCAGAGCGAAGCAAGTCGCCAGCCACGCCAGCCAGCATTCACTTCAGGTGGAATCCAGCTTGTTTAGTGTCTTTGGCAACGGGGGATTGCCACTGCCACTGTCAATAGCGCAGGAAAGCGCTCCCTCCCTCAAGACCTCCTCCCTGGACGTGTCCACCACGCCTTTTGACTTTCCAAAGTACGATTTCTTCCGGGAGATTTTGCCTGCGCTGCCGCAGCAGCAGCAGGGGGGAGAGCACAACCTCTTTGGAGACGAGCTCTGCATGCTGTGTGTTGAGAGGCCGCGTGCGCGTGGTGGCGCTACTCGTCTCACGGTAAGCAAACTCACGCCCCCTCTCGAGTGATTTAAATGTGTGTGTTTTGACAGGATTGCGGCCACGCATCGTTTTGTTCGTCGTGCGTCCGGGCACGGGGCCACTGTCCAGTCTGCCATGCAAAGCTTGTGGGCTGGGGTCTTATGTGATGTTGTGTACATTTGTTTCCCCCTGTTGAGAAATAAGTATGAATCAAAACCCTGACCTGATCCTAGGGAGCTATGTCCTTCATTTTTTTCAAGCCATTCAGACCTAAGAGCGCAGCTGAGCTCGTCAAGTCGACGCGGGACGCGCTCGCTGCCCTGGATGACAAGACCGTGGCGGATGTGCGGCTGCTGGACAAGGTAAACAAAAAAGAGCTGTTCTCATGCCACTCTCACTCTCTCCCCTCCAGGCGCTCGAGGAAGTGGACAAGAACCTCTTGGCCATGAAACACATGATCCTCGGCGATGGCGAGGCAGAGCCCAGCCCAGATCTGGTTGTGCAGCTTGTAGCCGAGGTGTGCAAGGATGACTTTCTGGAAATTCTCATCCACAAGCTCCCTAATCTAGGCTGGGAGGTAACGAGCGTGTGTGTGTGCATTTCGCCAGCTCATTGATTGATCGGCAGGCAAGGAAGGATACAGTCCAGGTATGGTGCATTCTTCTGCGCCAAAAGGGTGGCCTCGCGGTACACTGCCTGGAAAATCACCCCGAGCTTCTAGATTTCCTCATCTCGTGGTAAGTAGGCAAACAACGGGCTGTCGCGCTATTATGAAAGCCTGGCTGAGGGTGCAGCTATCAGAACAAGGACACTGCTCTCAACTGTGGCGTCATGCTAAGGGAGTGCTCCCGCTTTGCAAGCCTAGCAGCGTGAGTGAAATCGCCCATGCAACGCATTCGTTGCATTACTAGCTGTCGCCCGCTTTCCAGATACATGCTCGAGTCGGCCAGCTTCGAGCTGTTTTTCAAACTCGTGGAGCTTCCCAACTTCGATATTGCCTCGGATGCCTTCACCACGTTTAAGGTAGCCCTCTGCGCTGTTTTCTCTGTTACGTTTACGTTTGGCGCAGGAGCTTCTCACCAGGCATGGGAGCGTTGTAAATAACTACCTTAACTCGCACTATGACCAGGTAAGCGTCGCCACAGCTCAAATGTTTCACTTGGGTGTCGTGATCAGTTTTTTGAGCTGTACGAGAGGCTGCTAAGCTCCAGCAACTATGTCACAAAACGGCAATCTCTCAAGGTGGGTGTCTGTGTGTGTGTGTATATCGTCGTGTGTGCCCTTTTTTTTTTTTTTTTTAATACTCTTCTCCCTCTTTATTCTCCAGTTGCTCGGGGATTTTCTCCTGGACAGATCTAACACGCAAGTCATGCTACGGTACATTTCGGACAAGCGCAATTTGCTGATAGTCATGACGCTTCTCAAGGTCCGTTGCTTGCTTCTACGTATGCCAATGTAAGTAAAAGCTTATTCTGGCCCAGGACCCAAGCAAGAGCATCCAGTCGTCTGCGTTCCATATATTCAAGGTGCGCCTCGTCGATCAGCAAATGGCGAGCTCTCTTGTCCTTGTGCAGGTATTTGTTGCAAACCCGAAGAAGCCAGCCCCCATCGTGCACGTCTTGGCAAAGAACAGAGACAGACTGCTGCGCTTTCTGGACAAGTTCCACCTTGACAAGGGTACGTATATTCTCACAAACCTTTGCTGCTGCTCCACCATACGTGCATGTGGACGTGTGCATGTTCACCTCCAGAGGACGAGCAGTTTGAGGAAGAAAAGGAGCTGCTGGTCAAGGAGATCGAGGCGCTGGCCACACGCTGATGGAGTGTTTATTTGTGCCCCCCACCCACACTAAGAGGTAGCTAGCTATGGTCACTCCCCAGTGACGACGACGAGGCATCCACACATGGTGGAGAGCGCGCTGCTTGTCGGCTGGTATAAACAGGCGTCCACCTTCACACCTTCCCCCTCCTGTTGTTGCTGCTGCTGCTGCTGTTCCTGCCCGTGTTCCTCGTACATGACATTGACGCACACTTGCCGCTCCTCTCCTCCGCCTCCTCCACTTCGGGACGATCTCTCCAAGGCCAGGATCTCACCCAAGGAAGGTGGAGCAACACTGTCCGCCAGCAGCGTCGCGTTACTCCCCGTCTCGTCGCTGCTGTTGCCGTTGCTGCGGCAGCCTAGCAGCGCCCACACCATGCCCCCCCTGCCGTGGCGTGCCTGCTCCCTCCTCCGCCCCGCCGACCGGATTCCAATCAGGCTCCCCAGCGTCATGCCCGCCACTCCCGTCTCCGGGAGAAGCGACACAGTGGACTGCACAGCAATGCACATTGCAGTGCGCTCTTGGCGTGACAAAACATACCTGGGTGTCCAGATCCGAAGACAAGGACGAGGAGAAGCTCAAGCTGGGTGACAAGGACGAGGCTGCGGCGGCGGCAGAGCTGGCGGCGGCGTGCTCCAGCCACGACTCCGCCAGATGCACCCGCACGTTGACGGGTTGCAATCCAAGCGGCCACCCCCGCATCGTCTCCTCCATGGCCAGATGAATGAATTGTCCAATTCAGCTTAGGGTTAGCCCACCGCGATGGAGATGGAGGAGGAGGGGTGGCCGAGGCGGCGGCGGCGGCGGCTGGACGTGGCGGTGTGGAGCGACGCAGCGGTGCGAATGCTGGTGCTAGTGATGCGCATCCTCAGGTACTCCCGCTCCCTCCAAGACGATCCACAAGACGACGGCGGCGGCGGCGGCAAGAGCACACAGGTGTGGAAGCGCGTCGCTCGAGCGCTGCAGCTCCGCGGCCACCCCTTGGATGGCGTCCAATGCAAGACCAAGTTCAAGGCACTCAAGGCGGACTACCACGCAGCTGTGGCCTCCGCGCACTGCGACCGGTTTAAGTTCTTGGATGACATGCGCCACTACTTTGCCGGCGTTCCTGTGGCCGAGGCTGAATTCCAGGCTCTCTTTGACGGAGGCCACACCCTGCAAGATTTCTCCCGCATGCTCCTGAGCAGCGATGCTGACGACGCCAGCGATCGTCGCCACCACGCTGCCAAGAGGCGGCGGAGCGAGGCTTGTCAGCAATCGCGCGAGGAGGACGAGTACAGGGCCGCAAAGCTGCGCCTGCTGGACAAGGAGGTCCAGCTGCAAGAGCAGCGGCTTGAGCTGGAGGTGGTGAGGGCAGACAACGAGCGGCAGCGGCTGGCCAACGAGTCCCGCCGGATTTGTGTCGAGGAGAGGAGGCTCAAGCACGACGAGGAGCAGCTGCACATGTTGAACACGCTCGTGGCGTTGCTGTCCGCGCTGACTGATGGGAGCCAGCTGGGCGCCACAGGATCGCCGCGTTATCCGACGGCTCGCCCACAGTAGCTCTTCGTGTCTCGCCTCCATTTCGTGGCCTTGATGTCGCACCACCCTAGGATGGCGGAGATGAAGTATGTTGTCGTTACCGGTGGCGTGGTGAGCGGCCTCGGTAAGGGGGTAACAGCTAGCAGCATTGGCCTGCTGCTCAAGTCATGTGGCCTTCGCGTCACCTCCATCAAGATCGGTACGTGCGTGCTACTTACTCGTGTGCTGGAATGGCCCGGCCCCGCATTTTCCAGATCCCTACCTCAACATGGACGCGGGAACCATGTCACCCTTCGAGCACGGGGAGGTGTTTGTTCTTGACGACGGAGGGGAGGTAAGCGTCTGCCGCGCGCTGCATGCATGCTAACCACTGCTGGGAGCGTTTTATGGCTAGGTAGATCTGGATCTTGGCAACTATGAGCGGTTCCTGGACGTCACTCTCACAAGGGAGAATAACATCACGTCTGGGAAAATATACCAGGTGCCATCCCTTCTCCCGTTGCTCCAAGTCTCTCGTCTCATTCTTCGTCCCCGCAGGCTGTTCTGGAGAATGAGCGGAGAGGGGACTATCTGGGAAAGACTGTGCAGGTTCAACTCTCGAATTGCTTGGATTGCCCTCCCTTTCTTACGTCTTCCCTCGCAGATTGTTCCCCATTTGACTGATGTCATCCAAGATCGAATCCAATCGGTGGCCAAGGTTCCAGTGGACGGAACTCCTAACCCTCCAGACGTATGCGTTATCGAGCTTGGAGGAGTTGTTGGTACTCTTTCGCATTCTTTATTTCAAGCTCTTCTCACCTTGGGTTCTCCTCCTCCTCAGGGGACATTGAATCCATGCCATTTATTGAGGCTTTACGACAGCTCCAGTTTTACGTTGGTGAGTTTTATGCGCCCAGTTAACCTATGTATGTAACAAGAGTGGAAGTGGTGTATATGGATTAGGTGCTGAAAACTTTTGCCACATTCACGTCAGCCTTGTCCCAGTTCTTGGTGTTGTCGGTGAACAGGCTAGTATGCATTGTTTTTCTGTCACATGTAGCGGTTGAGCTCACTCTTCTTACTACAGAAGACAAAGCCTGCTCAGCAAAGCATTCGTGAAGTTCGCGCCTTCGGTTTGGTACCGCACTTACTGGTTTGCAGGAGCGCTCAAGTAAGCGACTAAGCTGTTATTGCCTTGGTTTTCACCTCTTACCTGTTAGAAACTCGAGGACTACACCAAAGAGAAGTTGTCCCAGTATTGCGATGTCTTGGTATGCATGTGTTTTTGGGGCTTCAGTGTCAAAGACCATTTCTCCTTGCATTCAGACTTCCGACATTTTGAACATTTACGATGTCTCAAATATTTGGCACGTGCCCTTGATATTGAGGGTACTCTAGCTCCTATATCATGTAATCTGTTTTAACAGGTTCTCACTTAGGATCAAGAAGCGCACTATGCAGTCTTAAGCCGTTTGAACCTGAGGTAGATCTGTATTGTGCTTCTGTTTGTTCCTACCTAATGCGCTGTCTACAGTCCTGCCGAACCTTGTGTCGAGAAATGGTCGGCCATGGCACGGTCTTGCGAGAACTTAACCGTTCCGGTTAGTGTTACGTAATTGGTTTTCTTGTCCCCATTTAGTTCTGTTCCAGGTTCGGATAGCAGTTGTTGGAAAATACACTGGTCTTGCAGATTCGTACCTCTCCGTTTTAAAGGTAAGCGTTTTGGTGGCTAGGCTGTAATATTTCCTCTGGGAATGCAGGGTTTACAGCATGCGTGTATTGCATGCTCGAGACGGCTACTTGTTGACTGGGTTGCATCATCCTCTTTAGAAGATGCTAAGCGTCACGATGTATGCTTACACTTCCATTTGCTAGCTTGTAAATGGAAGTTGTCTTGCAGATGGCTGAGGAATATGAATCAGCTTGGAGTATGCTAAAGGTACTGGTAATTGTGGTGCTGCACTAGTGTTTGTATTTCTCTTTCTCTTGTGTTGTGTGTGTCAGGATGCTGACGGTATTTTAATTCCCGGGGGCTTTGGTGCTCGGGGTGTTCAAGGAATGATATTAGCTGCAAAATATGCTCGTGAAAACAATGTTCCCTTTTTGGGCCTCTGTCTTGGCATGCAAGTCGCGGTCATTGAGTTTTCTCGATCGGTAAGCTTGTGCTTTATGGTTCCGGTTCCCGTGGCATACATCGCAAAACGCAGGTCCTCAATTTGGAGAACGCAAATAGTACCGAGTTTGACCCGGCCACGCCGTATCCCTGTGTTGTTTTTATGCCCGAGGTAACACGTGTGGTTACGCGAGCTTCACTCGTTCTTTGTTTCGATAGGTTTCTGATACGCACAAGGGTGGGACGATGAGGCTAGGATCCCGCGCCACTCTAATTCAGACACCACACTGCATAACCGCAAAGCTGTAAGCTGCCTCCATCTATCCATAAAGACGTGTGCGAATGACGTGGGTGCAGATACCAGAAGGAGACGCATATTTACGAACGGCACAGGCACAGATATGAGGTGTTTTTATGTGCAATGAGCACTAAACGATGGCAGGCTTCCAGGTGAATCCGCAAATGGTTGAAGCGTTGGAAGGCGCTGGATTGTGTTTCGTTGCTAGGGATGAGACTGGAAGACGGATGGAGGTGCTCTACGTTGTGGCCTTGTATAATGTATCTCTCTCTATTGTAGCAGATCATGGAGCTGCCAAGCCATCCGTTTTACGTGGGAGTTCAGTTCCATCCAGAATTCAAATCTCGACCTGGGAAACCGTCTCCTCTGTTCATAGGTAGTAAAATCTTGTGTGCCCGCAAAACAAATTCTGTGCAGCTCATGGTGCTTCCACTTGGATGGGTCCAGGTTTTATACAGGCCGCTTCGGGACAAATGAATGGCTACATAAAAGGTGACCCGGGCACAGCGGTGAAAGCCAAGATTGTGGTAACAAAGAGGGGGTATAGGAGCAAGCCTCCAAAGAGACCGGAGACGGGGGTGGGCTACAAGCCCCGGGGCACGGGGCCCAGGCGTCCACCGCCTTCGTCAGCTGGAGCTACAGCTAGTGTTCCCAAGCCGTCAGTGCCCGCAGCTTACGAATACGCGAGTGTAGGAAGGAGACCGTCGTGGCTTCCAAGGGCGTCTCTCCTCAGGCTGCAAGCTGTAGAGCGCCCGGCCTTTCGGTGATATAAAAGAAAAAGGAGGAGGGAGGGAGGGAGGGGACATGTTATCTCCGAGCGGTGGCAGAGGTCAGAGCAAGCTGAGGTGCCGTGCCTGACGCCGACTCCCTTGTTTCCCGCAAATACCCTGCTTGTCTAACGCCAGGATCGGCCATCGGCTCAGAGATTGGGATTTGAGCGAGTGTGAATGCCATGCCATGAAACGTCAGATTCCTTGAAAGGCCTCCAGGAGCCGTGTCAGGAACGGTGCACGTGTGCTCTCTCACTCTGCTTGCCAAAGGGCATGTGAACAAGTGGTTTGCTCTTTGCTTAAATGTGCCCCAACCTCCAAGCAAACACAATGCAAATCCAAGCCTTTGGCTTGACTCGCGGGTCTCTAGTCGGTGGTTTGTTTATATTATCTGCAGCATAGCACACTCTGGCTCTCGCCCCACTACTTGGTTCGACTTTAGTAGTTGAGGGCACGAGCACCAGTTGGACTCGAGCGCATTGCCAGCCAATGGCCGTGCCAGCACACGCAAATCCGGAGCAAGAGAAACAAGGGCGAGGAGGTACGGCCAGCATCGTTCCGTAGGTGTTACGAGCGGACAAGCCTATAAGCTGGACGACGGGGCTGAGTGGACGTTTTGTTCCGAGATTAAAAGGCATCTGTCAAGCTGCAAGCAGCTGCTTGACAGTCGAGTGTCTTTTCCTTTTTCTTTTGTATCGGATTTTCTACGACACTTCTCTACCAAAGTCTTTCTTGGGATTGACGTCGCCCCCGTACACGATGCGATGGTGTGTGCCTTATATGTTAGATTGCATTCAATCCTGCGCCCTGTCCACCCGTCCGTCGCATCCTGCATGGCCCGGCCCATGTATACATTTTTCCATTCCATCGTATAGGCTCCAAAACACCATATGACATGTCAAGAGTGAGGACGAGTAAAGCCCACCCCCACCGCCTCCGGAAGAATCAAGCAGCTACCAGTGCTGCACAAGCAAACATGACATCCTGGCCTGCAGTCCCTGCAGCAGGGTAATATACAGCTCGGTTGGTATATTGTGTATATACAGCGCGCGCATGAACATGTATAAGGACCTCCCTCTCTACTTATTGGCTTGTGAGTCCTGAGCAGGCAGCAGCAGTCTGTTCTTGAGATCTTCTCCGTCTGCGCTCAAGCCCCTCCCCACACAGCCTTTTGGCATTCATCTGCTTCTCAGCTTCAACTGTCTTGTAGCTGCCGGTCTTTAAGTTCCCTCAGTGAATTACTGTGAAGTATCTAAGCTGCGACTGAGAAGGATGGTTAATGCCGCTTCAACAGCCCTTGCTCTTGGATGTTGCTGTTGCCTCTTGGCGGCCGCATGTCTTTTATGTTCCGCGGATGCCTCCCGGGCAACAGCGGGTAAGGTTTGCAGAATTTGCTATCTGATTATGACGGCAATGGTCCTCTAACACAGAGCCGCATTCTCTACGGCCTCCTGTAGGAGCAAGGAAACAAGCCTCGCGGCGAATGTTGACAGGTAAGGTCTAGATTGCTGGCATGCTGATCGTGACTCGTGTCCAGAAGGAGCGAGAGGCCAAGCAAGAAGAGTTTTAAAAGCGCTCGACTTCGAACAAGCGCCTCCTCCTGCGCAGGGGCCACTGGGATACTCGTCCTCTTTCACTAGCAAAAGCCACATTCCAAGCGACTCGGACGAGCTGATGAGTATGGACTACACTCCCGTTCACAGAAAACCGCCAATCAATAACAGAATCCCCTACTTACCCGTCCACTACAGCCCTGGCAGAGGCCAATGAGCGATGCCCCTGTAAAGGCGGTCGGGCGAGTAAATTTGTTTTCTTGGTCACCATAGCCTCAACAGCCTATTGATGGTGGTGCCTATTGTGCATGCCAACGCAGGGGGTAGTGGACGTGTGTTTTGTGAATTGAGCGAGTGCTAGTGAAGTCGATGATTCATGTAGATATATGCTGCCCAGGTAGCTTTTCGTGTGGCCCGGCGTTTACACTGCGATGCCTAGCGCAGCTGACGTCGTTCATGGCACACTTCTACGACACGGGATGAAATAACCACCACGTTGTGCGTTCCATCGTAGTGTCCAGCTTAACAACTAGGTGACAATACCGGTTCTTCTTTATACACACAAGATTAAAAATCCATGAAATCAAGGAGGAATCCAGTCCAGGTGACCACACCCATTAGCAATGAGCCGCCTGCTTCTTCTTCTGCTTCTGCCTCTTCTTCTTCGTCTCGTTGTTGCTGCTTTCATCTTGTGGTGAGGATGATGCAGCGGCGTGTGTTGATCTCTTCCTACTAGTGTGATCGGGATTTGGCACCACACCAGTATCAGCAGCGTCACAAGGTTGACAAGGCAACTCAAGTCGCGTGACAGGAATTCCAACGGCAGGGAACCTGAAGCCACGAAGCGCACAGTCACGAGCCAAGCAGAACGATAAACCTTACCCTTGACGAGCACGGCAGGCTCTGCCACGCCACTCTTGGCGGCCTTGTTCAACCTCGACACCTCCTGCCGAAGCACCACATTCTCCGTAGAAACAAAGCGCACCGACTGCTCCAATTGGGTGCAGCGGCCCTCCAAAAGGCGGCACTTTGCCTCGAGACCTGTCACGTACCACTTTTTTCTCTGCCGGGACTGCCAGGCCGACTGCCGGTTGCGTTGGAGCCTGTAGGGAGGGCGTCCAAAGTGTGAGCAGTGTGTGTGTGTGTGTGTGCTTACCTCGACTGCCGCTTCACCTCTTCCTCGTCGTGCTGCCGCTGCTGCTGCTGCTGCTGCTGCTGCTCGTCATCCGGATCCGAGCAGCTCAACAGCACCTCGTCCACAAACCTCCCCCATGAATCATCGTCCACGCCCACAAACAGATCCGAGAGCTCCACATCCGAGAGGACCGTCATGGCGCCGCACCCTGGCCCCAAACCCTAGCTTCGCCCTTGAATGAATGAAGAAGCTTCCAGGCAACCTGTTGATCGAGGCGGCGTCGAGGCGGGGCAGCGTGGCTGATGCGCAGCGCGCCTTTGACACCATTCCCGCCCCCAACCTCTACTCGTGGAACCTGCTGCTGGCCGCATATGCCCAGAATGGGCACCTGTGGCAGGCGCGCCGCGTCTTGGCCTGCATGCCCGCACCCAACGTCGTCTCGTGGAATGTGCTGCTGTCCGCCTGCTCCCGCCGCGGCCGCCCAGATGAGGCGCGGCAGCTCTTCCACTGGATGCCGCAGCACGACACGGTGAGCTGGAACACGGTGGAGCATATGTTCGCGGCCAGTGGCCACTGCCGCGACGCGCGGCAGACGTTCGACGCCATGCCCCAGCGCAGCGTCCTGTCGTGGAACACCCTCGTCTCCGCCTACGCCTTCCAGCGCCAGCTGCGGGACGCCCGCCTTGTCCTCGACCTCATGCCCGCTCGCAACTCAATCTCCGTCAACACTATGATCAAGGGCTACGCGTCTGCCGGCGCACTGCACGCCGCGGCGCTGCTCTTCTCTGCCATGCCCAATCGCGACCTTGTGTCGTGGAACTCGATGCTCACCGCCGCCAGCTGCTGGCAGCAGCACCAGCGGCTGTGGCATCGGATGCCGCGGTGGGACGTGGTGTCGTGCAACGCGCGGATCCAGGCGTGCTTGGGCAGCAGCCTTCACGCGGACGAGGGGGCGGCCACCTTCTGGGCCATGCCTGGCAGGGACGTGGTGAGCTGGAACACGGCGGCGGCGGGCTACGCGCGGCTGGGCCGCCCCCGCCACGCCCGCCGACTGCTGGAGCTGATGCCGCAGCGGGACCTTGTGTCCGCCAACTGCTGGCTGCATTACTGCTGCCACACACCCGGCGCCACCAAGCTCGGCTTCGATGCCATGCCCCAGCGCGACAGCGCGTCGTGGAACTCGATGCTCGCCAGCTGCGAGCTGCCGGTCGCCGACGAGCTCTTCTGGCGGCGGATGCCTGCTTGGGACGTGATCTCGTGCACGCTCATGGTGGCGGCCTATGGCAGGAGCCTGGGTGGCATGGACGCCGCGGGCCGCGCGTTTGCCGCCATGCAGCACAGGGACGTTGCGGCGTGGACCGCCATCATCTCGGCGTATGCCACGCACGGGGACTGCGCCCGTGCGGTGGCGCAGTCGTGGGGCATGGCATTGGACGGGCTGGAACCCAACTACGTCACTTACACTGTCCTTCTCCACGCGTGTGCACAGGCGGGGTTGCTGGAGCAAGGCGCTGCATGCTTGGCCGCCGCCGGTGTCACCGTTGCGGACGAGCAGCACTACTCGTGCTGCGTCGACATGCTGGCCCGTGCTAAGCAGCTGGCTGCCGCCGAGGAGCTCATCGCCGCCATGCCCGTCCCTCCCACCGCTGTCACCTGGACGGCCATGCTGTCTGCATGTCGTGTCCAGGGCGATGTGCAGCGGGCCGACACCGCCGCAGCACAACTCCTCGACCTCGACCCCGCCAGTGCGCTGCCATACGTGCTACTCCTCAGCGTCTACACCGAGGCAGGCCGGACGGAGGAAGCAACGGCATTGAGACGGCTCATGAGCCGCAGGGGAGTGATGAAGATGGAGCCCGGCACCACTATGATCCTCCTCGACACGTAAGTAACGACTACCCTCCGAAACAGGCGCGGTTTATTGTTTGCGGCCCATAACTGACTCCAGTACTAGGGACAAGGTCGTCGGCATGGCCAGCTCTGTGCAAGGTCAAGTCCTGGGGTGAGTCACGACACTTTATATGCACATGCATACGTCTCGTATTGCAGGCAACCTTGCTGCTCCCCCAGTCTTATCACTCACGTTCGAGCAGCAGTTCTCTCCCACTTGGGTGTTGATCCCGTGGACGCGCTCGCCAAGGTACTAGTAGCGCTCCGCCTCTCTAACTATACACGTGACGCCTCACGCCTGCTCAGGGAACCCTCCAGCAAAACTCCGTGGAGCTGCACGTTCACCACCACCACCACGTCTACGTGGACCAAAACCCCCGAATGCACGACGCGTCCCGGAAGGAGTACGAAGAGCTTGCCAACACCACTCTCCTGGATATGCTATGGGCTAAAAACAAGCCATGCTACGGCAAAGTTAACATCACGTCTCCCACGCTTGAGCAACAGACTCCTGCAGAAGGAGCTCAAGCCAATAACAAGGGCACTGCAACTAAACAAGTGCGGCCTCACAAGCTGAAGAGGCTCTTCCCTGGGAACAAGTCATCGCAGGGAGTAGACAAGGCTAACTTATGCGCAACCACCAAGTCTAAAGTCCGCTGCCTCGAAGCAGCAGCGCAGGAGAGAATTAAGAAGCTCTCTGACCTTGGAACACTGATTGCAAGGGGATTTCAGACAGACACCAAAGAAACCTTTTGCCAAACGCAACCAAATGCTCCTCATACTTCACAACAGCACAAGAAACATACACTCAATGAACGTTTCCAGGCTGCCGAGGCAAGCTTTGTAGCTGCTCTCAACGTACTGACCAACTAACCAGTGCTCGACCCTCAGGCGGCTAGAGACAGGCTACGTGAACTCGTGAAGGCATGCGTAAGACAATATCCGCGAAAGTTTGTGCCAGAGGAGATTCTCAGGAAGCAGAAAGAGTTGCAAGCACTGGAACGAATTCAGAACCTTTTTAATAACCAGAATGACAACTCTACAGGGATTTCTCTAATGTCCACCTCTGTGGCAAGTCTACAAGAGAAATCCCCTTCGCATGGCTCGTTTGATGTAAGTGGTTGCACTGTTGATGAAATTGGTGCGCATGCAGATCCTAACCACGAACTGTCGAAAAATCGTGCTGAGCCGTCACGCTCCGGGAGGAAGCCCATTCCTTCCGAAGAGGCGCCTGTGTGGCTGTCGGAACAAGGATGGTGTGATGTTTATGCTTCGCCTGCCGTGTTGGCTAATGGCATATCAAGTCCACTGGAGTACTTGACGCTGTTTCAAATGCACCAGTCGAGAACCGCTTGTAATCCATGGCTTAAGTTGCTGGAGACTGAGCTTGCCAAGCTTGTATCAGCGCTGGGCTTTCAGCAAATTGAAGATGGCCTTGAGAATCTAGACAAGAAGCTGGGTAACGTGGAACAGGCGGCAGAAACTCTTAGAGAGAAAGAAGTTAAGCGTTCAGAACAACAACCACAGCGGTCACTCTCCGACAGTATTACTTCTTGCTGCGCAGTGAAAAACACACAGGTACCGACTGGCGTCAGTTTCTAGATTTCGTAATGACGATGTTTAATACACGCAGCTTGAACACATTCTTTCATTTCTAATCTCAACGTCAGAGAAGTTCCAATCGTTTGTAAAGGTCACAAAAGAAGCACTGTTAGATGAGGACCGGAAAAACACTCTTTTCAAACAATGCGCTGGAGACAAGCGATTACATCTGGAAGTACTAGACTCTGGATTTGAGCTCAATTCTGAACTCCTTGACATCCTCAATCGAATGGAGAGTGCACTAACACATTTTGCGAGGTTTAGCACCGAGTTACTGCCTTTTCTCAGTGAGCATCTATCTGTGACGAAAAAGCTTGTAAGTGTTTCTTTTGTTATTATGGCTGTTGACGTGAATGAGCTATTGCTAGCGGGATGCCACATCCACCTCAGCAATAAGAAAGGTACAACATCGGGCATCGTGGCCAGAGAATGAGATGCAAAAGACGGTCTCTCTCTCTCCCTCTCCCTCTCTGTGTGTTGCCTGCGTGATTTACCATATTTTTCTGTGCAGTCGTCTGCTATAGATGGTGCATTCGAGAATTTCATGTTGATCAAGGATATAGAAAAAACCAAGAAGCATTCTGAAGAGATGGTACAGATAATGGGCTCCTTAGAGCACCAATACAACATTCTGAAAACGAAGTTTGAGCAATTGTCTACATTTGACGAAGGACATTCTCGGGAATCTCGTGAAAACGTGCCTAACAATCAGCAAATGGAGTCCTTAAGCAACCAAAAGCTGGAGAATGGAATCCGAAATGTGTCCTCTGCGATTCCAGAAGCAGGAAATTTTTTCACTTGATTGGACGCTAACGAACAGTGAAACAACTATAGGGACGTCTATTAAACTCAGTTGAGCCTCTTGCAGTACTTTTCAATGATAATGTAATTTTTTAGAACGAGGTTGCACCTAACCCTGAAGTTAAACGGAGGAGATTTTAGCGTCCCAATTGTTGACATAGTGCCTTTCATAACAAGGTCTGCACCAAAAAAGGTCCGTTTTCCGGAACTGCTTAACATGGTGTAGTACACGTTGAGTGGAATGGGTAGCAGTTTCTGCGAGACAAACAGCTTGAACGACTGAGAGCTGCTTCTGGGTTGTGTAAAGGGCATGCTTTTTGTGGCTCCAAACCTGAAGCCATTGTAGAAGACAGTGAGTTCAATGCTCTCTACGAACATGTCCACTTTCTTGTTGGAATTGGTAAAGAGAATTGTGTACGAGGCATTAAAGGTGAAATAAGCAGCAAAATAGTTTCCGGAGCCTGAACTTGTTTGTTCCGCAATCTGTGCAGGGGTGAGAGCGGTAATGGCAAGGGAAACAAATCCTGCTCCCGTGACTTCAAAATCCGGTGCTACTGGCTGGAGATGTATGTACATTGCGAGCATGATCAGGCACAGAATAAAAATTACGCAAGAGAAGGCTACCAGACCACCAAAGAGCTCTTCTCCAAGTGCCTTGAGCTGTTGCTCCCGCTGCAGTTCTCTCTCGGCAGCATCAAAATGACTTTTGTTAAAAATCCTGCTGAGATTTTGCGAGTTTGGGATTCCCTCGTCTTCATCCACGACAAGACTGATCCTGGTAAACTTGCCTCCAGCTTGGGCCACTTTCCCAGCTTCTTCATCACCTTCAGCATCACCGCCAAAGCGTACTCCTCGTGGCATTTCATGTCCACGCACAGACACACACTCGCGGATACCGCATCCTTCCTTGGATCACAAGCGGTTACGTTTGAAATTTAACGCGCGCAGAAGCTGCCGTGGATATCATCCAACGGTTAATTTTGAAACGTGCATAGCCTGTGAGGAATAACAAAGTCTCCTACCACAGTCACCTGACACTTGACCATCAGAAAGAAGTTAGGTGACTTTATGCAACCCACATTCGGGCCTTTACAGTCAGCATGAGAACATAAGTTGCTTTGCCTAGCTTCATGTCGTTGACAATCGTATAGTACACGTCTAGGGGAAGTGGCAGATTGTTTTCACGAATTCGTACAATATAAGTCTTGAGCCACGCCTGGCCTGCACGAAGGGGCTGTTCTCGCGGTTCCCAGTTTGAATCCATTGTAGTAGGGCAGTACTCGTTGAATTGTTGAATGTATCCACTTTCCTGTTGTTGTTGCTGTTGTCATATTGCACCTCGTATGTAGTCCCAAACTGGAAATACGCAGCGTAGTAGTTACCTTCGCCTGCAGCCTGCTGCCACGCTATCTGTGCTGGAGTAACAGGCGTCATCGTTAAGTAGTCAGAGCGTGCGGCCGTCACTTCGAAAGTAGGACTTTTCGGCCAAAGGTGCAAGTACGCCACAAAAAATCAAAGACAGGCACCCCACATTAGGACCTTTCTCCGCCTGTAGTCTCTAGTGATCTCTCTAGTCTTTGATGTCAAATAAGATTCATCAAAAATCTTGGCTATAACTAAAGCCGACGGGTGAAAGTCCTCCACGTCCGGAACATTCTCACCGGTCGTTATAAATTTTAACTGCCTGATCTGGGCGTGTATTTGACGGAAGCTGCTGAAGAGAAGCTGCTGACCTTTCAGAGGAAAGCCGATGGAAACCTGGAGCTCCTGGAAGGGTTGGAAGAACTTTGATGTCGCTGAAACGGTGGCATGGTGAGGCCCCTGGGAAGGACTCATGAAATTTGGAAGAGGAGGACATGTCAAGAGGCGAAACAATGCGTTCCACGAGGGCTGCTCGTGCTGATGCACTTTCATTAGGGCCTCTGGCTCAATTCCAGCTACCACATGTGTTTGAGAGAAGTCTTTCTGCTTTAAACCACTTGCCTACTTAACCGCCTGTTTGAGAAATCTACTGTGGCCACGTCGTCATGTAGGGGTGGACGCAGAGCGGCACAAAGACTGTCAGACTTGGAGATCAAGATGGCCGGGGACACAGACGATATGCTGTCACGAAGCAACGAGTTTGATAATCATGGGGTCGCATTTGAGGAGGCATGGCTCCTTGAGCAGTGGCAATGGCATTTACCGATGCTGGATTTCATGTTGAATCCGGCACTGTCGCTCTTTACATTGATGGCAGCAATCAGTGCTGTTGCTGAGAGAGTGAGGAGTTTGGTTCCGAGGAACCGGGAACTAAACAGGACAGATATCAGCAGATTCTTTGATGAAGAATATCTTGCTAGAATGGAGGCCAAAGAAGCAAGAGACAGGGTCAGATGGTCGAGAAGCAGGCACTTCGGATCGATTCTCGTAGGACTTCTCTTGTTCTTTCTTGTTTTGGGTCTAGTAATGATGGGCATTTACTGCTACCTCAAGCCCAGCTTCCCTCGTCTAGACGTTGTTACCGCCAAATTTTCGTATATTAACATGAATGATGTAGACGCTTCCGAGATTATAGCACAGCAGGCTGAAGGTAAAGGCATGTACTTTGCGGCAGTATATAACTATAGCATCATCTACACTCTCTATTTGTCCAATCCCAACAAGAGAGTGGATCTTTATATTCAATCGCTTGAGATTAAGCCATTCTACTTTGGATTTCTACTTGGGGCTGGAAATTCGCCACCTTTTGTGCAGCTCAGAAGTAGCAGCAGGCTTGTGTTTATTACTGTCACAGACGATGGATTGCAGGTGCCGCTGACATCTAATTATAGCATTAAGAGGGATATACTTCGCAAAGCACTCACATTCATGATTGAGATGGAGCTCAAGGCAAAAATGAGCACCGTCTTTGGCTTGACATCTCCGTCGTTCTGGTGCAGTGCCAAATGTGACATTCAAGTTGATCAAAATGGCATGGTTGCTAATAAAATTTGCTCCAACAAGAACACGGTAAGGTAGTAAGTAGCTGATTGGAGAAACCTATCACGTATGAAAAAGATTGAACTCTGGATGCATATGACCGACCTGACTGCCAGATAGCGCAGTTCGTACATGCCATATAACAAACGTTGCATAAGCCTCTTCTAGTTGTGTATCCATCTTTGATTTCTCGTGCCTCGGGGCAGCCTTCCCTCGGAGCTTCGTCGTTGACTTAGCCTGCGGCATTCAGGAGTGACTATTGGTCGCCCATGAAAGCTTCATGTTGAATGAAGCATAACGTGCTGGGGAAAACTGATAACTTAAATTTTCGAAAAGATTTAACCTCTTCTCAATCTCTCTTTTTTTTCTTCTAAGAAGACGAATCAATATATGTCCACAATTTCTCAAACATTGATTCTTATCTGCTTATGAGCTGCACAAAAGGTGTCCCCATAAATGCATATCATTAGACTTGAAGATATTTTCACGTGAAAACCATATGAATCAGTGGGGACAGCAATTGTCCATAAATTATAATTTTTTACATTATTGAATTAAGATCCTTATCCCATCACATCGCTTATCAACTAGACGATATAATGTAATAAGGAAAGGTCGATTTAATTAGTGTCATACATTTGCTTGTCTATGCACACCATCTCCTTTGAGATTTATGAAGCATCTGGCTTTCGATTAAAATGTTTAAGTGATTTAATTTAGCATATCCATGCTTGTGCTCAGAAACTTTAAAATAGCAAGAACACAACTATTCTCATGCACCATTACCACGCCAGCATGTGTAATAACAGCTTCGATTGCATCAAGTCCTTTGTATGCGTTGATAACACTTAATGTGATGTGCCCACTATCGTCAGAGCTCCAGAAGGCGATGACCGCAGTTGCACTCATTTGACTACGCCATTCATAGGTTTTCTTCCTCTGTCAATTGTGGCATGGTCACCTGCAAGGAAAACGTTAAGTAAGCTCCAAGTTCTCACGGGCTGATATACAAACTTCAATTTGCTTAAAAACGGGATAACAAACTCGAATCACAGTGGTGCCTGCTTACTATTTGCCTATTCAAAGTTTATAGCAGAGCCTCTGCTGAACAAGTTCTCTACTTGGGGATCTCAATTTGCATGTAACATGCCACAATTGAAAAAGAAGAAGAACAGCATAGTCAAATGACTTTATCTCCTTGTGTGAGCTAGTGGAGCACTCACATTAAGTGTTATCAGCCACTTTCAGTCACGTGAAGAATCATGCCTCGCAAACTGTATAGGACACTAAAGGCTCAAACCAGGACACATCAACAGGTCATGCATCAGTCTATATGACCTCAAGAACCGCCTGAGAAGAATACAGTAACAGCATTGCTAATCGAAGCTAGCTTTGATATTTGATTAGAAACTTTAAGAGGCTAGCCATAAAGTGAGAACGCAAATTTGCCAGTCACATAACTACTATTTCTCATGATGGAGTACAAAGCAACATGTAATGGATTTAATGGATGTAATGGATTTCAAGGATAAGGCCACCCATGGCTTTCCAGATTTTATATATGAAACACAAGGTGATAGAAATAAAAACTTTCGAAATGAGAAAACTACATAGGTTGCAACCGAATTTAAAAAAGAACCTTCATTGTGTCCACCAAAGTCTACCAGGTTGATGCTTAAGGGAGCTTAGTACAAGCAAAACGGAGAACTCAACACTGAGGCCAAGAATGTCTTTTTCTCTTTGTCTTCTGAAATTTAGCTAATATGAGCTAGCAAAAGTTGTTGTCTTCTCCAATGCAGGGATGTTGAAAAGCAGCAGTAGCATCTACAAGTTTTCCAGTCCAATATGTGAGACAATGGATATAATATGTTCAGTATTCATGTGCAATTGAAATTAACTGTTTATTTCTTTGAAAAGTCTGTGTGTTGCTAAATTCAGAAAAAAATTAAAATAACAGTAATCAGCATCTCCCTAAGTGAACCAGTCCCACCTATGCATTATGAATTAAGCTTTGTAGCTATTTATATCTTAGTAATGATA